TGTGTATACGTGTGTGTGTATGTATGTGTGTGTATACGTGTGTGTGTGTGTGTATGTATGTGTGTGTATACGTGTGTGTGTGTGTATGTACAGTATATACAGTATAAAAAAAAGCAGTATAAAACGGACATCGCACCACGGTAGGTAGCATGCCGCCACAACTGGCCACCCAAAATATTATGGAGTTTGCTGAATGTGAGGTTAGCCATGGACAGACACAAAGGGGCACACTCACAGAAAACTGACTCAATAACAAGAACATTTTATTTTAAATATAGTACACATTACAGTCATTTAGCAGACGCTTTTATCCAAAGCGACTTACAATTCAGATTCTATCACAATTCTACAACGTAGGCACAGCTACAGGAGCAATTTTGGGGTTAAGTGTCTTGCTCAACACATCGACATGCGACTAGCTGGAGCCTGGGATCGAACCGCCGATCCTCTGCCCTGCTATCCACTTCGCCACAGTCACCCCCATTGTAGACTGCACGTGGCAGCTTCATTAAATGCCTAGACACTGTGCTCACCCAGTCCTCCTGTGCTGGAATAATACGTCCTGTCCCTACGCCGTTCTGTGTGTCAATCAATGTCCGTGTGGTAAGTAGATTAAACACAAAGTTATTTAGGAATATGAAGCATATGATCTCAATACAAATTCACATAATATAGGAGTTAAAAGTAGCTTTTGACACATGGCCACCTCTACAAGACATGGCCAATAGATTAGCTAATAAAGGAGGATTGGTATTTTATATAAAATTACCCAAACCCACCTACATGCAGTGAACCTGTGAGTTTTGAGGTTTGGGGCCCAGGGCAGTTGTGTATCTCTTTGGTGTGTCTCTTATTGAGCTACAGGGCCGCTGAGACTGAATTCCCTTCTTCTCAGCAGTGAGAGGATGATGATGATGATGATGATGTTGATGTTGCTGCTTTTTAAAATGCTCGCACAGCCGTAGATCATATCCGACCTCATGCTGATGCTGCTGCGTCTCAAGGGGGCCTTAGCTTAATTGTTTCTGATGATGATTTTCTCTGTAGTGATAAGTGGATGGCAGCGCCCTCCCAGATCTGGCAGATTTACGTGCATTTCGTGGAGCGGGTGGATGTCAGCTGTGTGACTGGCCAGCGGAGCTGTCAATCCCTGGTGCTGAGGGGGAAGCAAGCCGTTCGCAAGATCAAATGTTTCTCATCACATCCCCAGGAGATCGAGGTACACATCTTCAAGAGTAACCAAACACTTTTGTCTCCGCCAGGTCCAAATGCAGAGTCCGTCTTGTTGCATTGTATTGATGTGTCTAATACCCAGGAAGATCCAAGCAGACCCTCAACCAGAAAATGATTTTTGAGGCAGATGGAGAGAGCGTATGTGGCATGTATAGCTGCTCTTGTGTATGCTAGTTGCTTGTTAATTGGTGGTGAAGAATTGGGTTTTGTTTCTCTATTTGGGTCATTTTGGATTTAGTCAAATTATTTTTTGATCTTTTCAGGATCACGTCTGATTGCATTTTGACACGCGATCAAGAGCTTGCAAACCAACAGTAGTCGTGGTTTAAGGTGTTGAGCCAAGTGTTTAGAACAAATGTACAATCTCCCCATTAATCCTTATTCCTGTGTTTAATCTAAATTGGCGCAATACACTTGCCTTTTCCCTTTTTAAATTGCTTCAGATTTTTCTAACTGAACACGGCTGACACGAATGTGAAGGAACATACAGAGAGAGAGAAGTGGAATCAAAACAGATCAAATCATACCTTGAATCTTCCTTCTCTAATGAGACGTTGAGAGCTTTGTTCTTGACATATTTCTTTCTGTCTTTGCAATATTCAACCCTGCAGATCCAAAAATGATTTCATGCAAATTGTTCTCTCTTAGCAGCAGGAAACAATAGGGCATCAACAGTCTCTTTTGTATGTAATAACTCCAGGTTAAGATTCAAGTCATTATCAGGACTGTACAAATGCGGATTGACAGCATAATGGGTCTTTTCATTTCATTTTATCCGGGTTCTCTTTTGCTTCCTGCATTAATATCGTATGTCGGGGGGCACAATTTGACACAGTTGAAAAATTTGCAATGGTTGTATATCCATAACGTATGAAAGTATGTTCCCAGAGTGTCAGATTGCCCTCTATTTTAAGATAATTTCCTAACTGGGTAAAAGAGGGGAGAGAATTTGACGATGCTTTTTCGAAAGAGTTGCAGTTAAAGGGCATTGTATATTACTCACTCAAAAAGTGATGGTCTGTCATATTCACCGTGGGTGCATAAAGTGCGACCCGAACGTGCTCTCCCTGAAGAAATGGCATACAGACTGAAAGAGCGACAGATGTTTAAAAAAAAAAAAAGAAGATTTCACCGTATGCATCAGCGCCCGCTTTGATCTGACTCTCAGCAGGTTAGCTCGCTGTGGAATGCTTCGGAGGAGTCTTATAAAAGCGGATAAAGCTCACCGCCAGAGAATAGCTTTGCTTTTCTCGACAGATTGAAAAGAAGCCGCACATTGAATCTCATTCTCACATCCTCCTGTCTCTCTGTCACTTTCCTGCCTCTACTTTCTCTCATTTCATTGTCTGCCCCCTCCCTTTTCCCAAAACCTCAGTCGCCCTTTCTCCCACCCACTCTCCTATAATCCGAACACCTTTATTTTCCTCTGAGGCTGTTAATCACATTTTCCCATTAATTGTCCTTTTCTGTCCCCCCCTATAAAATGTCTATCTTCTCTGCCATACTGTGTCATGCTCTTTCTGTCACTTGGTCAATGCCTCTACTTCTCGTCATAAGTCATCTCTTTCACACAATCAGAAATCTCCAAACTCACTCTTTCCTTTTTCTGTAGGTGGACCCAGAGGGTGTGTTCGTTTTGCCTCCCGCAGCGGTGCAGGAGCTCCAGCTGAAGGTGCAACCGTGGCGAGCAGGAAGCCGCTTCTTGTACGTGAATGCGGTGGATGCGGAGAACCGGCGGCTGGTCACTGCCTGGCTGCTCTGTCTCAACGTCTACCGGCCTGTACTGTCCAAGGTATGGTGTTCTACTTAAAGTGGTCATACATGTGTTTTCATTATGACTCCATCACCCGCCAGTTGGTGAGGCTTTGGAGACTGTTGGTGTCGCTCCTTTCTTTACTGTTCCAGCAATAGGTGCCAGGTATCTGTTTGAGGTACAAATGGTTTGAGCAGAGTCAAAATCACAGACCTTCTTATCGCAGCCTCTTTAATCCGCTCCAAATGATGTACTCGACACCGTAAAATGGTTTCTTTTAAATTCAAGTCCCCCTCTCCTCTTTTTAGTGGACAATCTCTTGATCTCTTACAGATCCGATGCACTGCCTCTAAGTCGCAAATGATTCCTCATTTTGCCATCAATATAAATCTGAGTGTACTATAATGTAGAAAGTTCTCGGATGCTTGGTATAGTGAGTATTTGCGCGCCTGGCTGGCGAGCTACTGTGGCTTGCCAGGTATCCAGGAACATGCTAGTTATATGCTGACATGCTTCTACTGGCCATCTGCATTAGCCTGACAAACTGGCTGGTTTGCAAGCTGTCAGTGTAAATGTTATCCTTTGACCTTGTTGTCGGTGTTTTCGTCGTTCAACTTATTCAGCTTGTGCTTGTAATTAGCTCCTCCCTCTTGTGGAACTTCTGGCTGCAAAAAAACAACAGCAAGATGGCGACTGACAAAGTTCCGAAATCGAGGCTTTAAAACTGTCGTCCACAAACCAATGGGTGACGTCACGGAAGTTGCATTGTGGGTAATCTCTGGTTCTGCTGCATCAATTTGTTACTTTTTTGTCTCCATTGTGAGTCCAACAATGTTACAGAAGTGCAAAGCTTAATATGTGGAGTGCTCTTGTGTGGAAACTGATTTTAGATGCAGTTGTTTCGACGGCTCTCCTTTTGCACTTCAAAAGAACATTGATATGACGAACAGCTCCCTTCAAGGTCTGTATAACTCAAAGCCACTGGTGACTCCGAGTCACATTCAGTGCTCATTGAACCATCCTGGTGGGTTCCTGGGTCAGCTGGATATTCCCAATTCATTTATGACTAGTGTCAAGAAAAGGCGAAGGACAGCTGATCCCAAGCCTGCACTCAAAGACAATCCCCTCTATAACTGCTGTCTGCCTTTCTAAACCGACTGACTGTCTGTTGAAGGTTATGGGCACATTACAGCTATGGGTCTAAATGTTTTCCTCTCGTATGTGGTGGTGTTGCTCTCCGTCTAATCCACAGAATTTAATCCCATTCTTTTTCAAATCTTGATGACTTGCACTTGTCTTACTTGTGTCTCATGGCAAGCACCCAGTGTGTGTGTGTGTGTGTGTGTGTGTGTGTGTGTGTGTGTGTGTGTG